GTTATCACGAGGATGACTGAACCTAAGGATGAATGTTACCTTGCATTATAGCAGGGGTATATGATTGCTAGTGTCTAGGTTTATATGTTTTGTTGATTGTGGTATAATGGTAGAAATGTTTATTATGTTTCGGTGGGCAGAAATGATCTCCTCATTGAGTAATTAATTACTCATCCCCCCTTTCCTCTTTTTCCTTTTTCAGGTGTGGATGGAGACCTCGAATAGTTGCTCAAACTTGTCTTGTTTCTTGGTGTTATTTTGGAACCGGGTTTTATTTATTTTATGCAACAAATGTTTTCATTTTATTAGTTGGTTTTCATGAGATTTTGTTGAATGATTTTAAGATCTTTAATAAGAATGGTTTTTAAGATAAGGTGTTTGGAAAATGAGGAATACGGGTGTTACAAATTGGTATCAGAGACAGGTTAAAGCTAAACCGGTTCTGACCCGGGAAGCTCGGTTTTCAGGGAAAATGATTTAAAAACGTTTTTAAAAAAAAAAAAAAAAAAAAAAAACAAATAACAAAAAAAAAAAAGAGGGGGTTTTTTTTCTTTTAATACGAAAATTAACAGTTTTCAAAATAAAATGGGACACCAGAAGAAACAAGACTTGAGCAATATTTGAGTTTCTGTTTAAGTACATGTTTATATTGATCTCATGTATTGTTTCTTTTTCAGAATGCCACCAAAGAAGACAACGCGTGTAGCAAATGCAAATGTAAATGCACGAGCTGCTGGGCAAGGACAACCACAAGGTGGAGCAGAACCTGCAATAACACGTGCAGAGGTGCAAGAGCTTCGGGATATGATGAGAGAGATTTTGCAGAGACAAGCAGCACCAGCAGTAGGCCAACCAAATGCTGCACCACATGGCCATCACCTACCACCAGCTGCACCACATGTTCAACATCCACCACCACCTCCAGCAGGGGCACCAGCACCAGGAATTGGTCTCACATACTGGGAGACACTGAGACTCATGACAGATTTGGGTACAGAGATTTTCAATGGTGGGAATAACCCAGTGGAGGCTGATGATTGGAGGAAGCTGTTAGAGAGGAATTTTGAGTCAACCAGGTGTCCAGTTGAATTCAAGAAAGGGCTTGCAGTTCATTTCTTGCGTGGAGAGGCACACATTTGGTGGGAGGGTGTGATGCGGAGCATGCCTGCTGGATATGAGATACCTTGGGAGACTTTCAGAGATGAGTTCAACAGGAAGTACTTTCCACAAGAAGCAATGGATACTATGGAGTGTTCATACTTGGAGCTTCGCCAGGGGTCCATGACTGTTAGGGATTATGAGAGGGAGTTCAACCGCCTTAGTAGGTTTGCAGGGAGAGAGCCTGGAGAACAGAAGTTGATTCGTAGATTCATGAGAGGGTTGAGGCCAGACATCCGCAACCATTGTTCAGTTCGAGACTATGGTAGTATGATTGAGTTGGTTGAGAAGGCGGCCATGATGGAGACTGGGCTTGAGGAGGAAGTTAAACACCTCAAGAGCACTCAGGCAAAGGCGACAAAGGTTGTGGAGTCTCAGAAGCGTACTTGGGATAACCGTGATGCAAGACAAGGCCAGAACCGTTTTGCAGAGTGTGCTACTTGTGGTAAGAGACATGGTGGAGTTTGTTGGGCCAAAACCAACAATTGTTATCAGTGTGGACAGCCAGGACATACCCAACAGAACTGTCCAAGAGGAGTCAATAACTGTAGAAGGTGTGGTCAGAGAGGTCATTTTGCGCGAGAGTGCACAGCGCAGCTGCCTGTAGGACAACAAGGGAACCAGAACAGAGGGATCCTGCCACCACCTCCCAAGAGACAGGCTGTTGGACCTCGAGTGTTTGCAGCAGCAGATCAGATTGGTGCAGAACCGATTGTGGGTACGTCTTCTATCCAAAGACTTTTATGTTATTTCTTTTAGCATATAGTAGTAGCATTGGTTCCTTTATGCTTGGGAACTGCTTAGAGAAAAAGTTGTGTAGGGTCTGTCCTTGTTGGAGGAATTACAGCCTACACATTATTCGACACAGGAGCGACACATTGTTTTGTCAGTCCTGAGGTGGCTAGATGCTGGGATTCGAGAATTGGGTTTGAAGATAGGCAGAGAAGGATCGACACTGCTGGCACAGAAGTAATTGGGTCCTCAAGAACATATCGAGATGTTCCAGTAGTGATAGAAAAAGAGGGGCTGCTTGGAGATTTCATCGAGCTGGAGCTGAAACATTATGAAGTAATTATAGGCATGGATTGGTTGACGCAACATAAGGCTATATTGGATTGTACTAGGAGGCGTGTTGATTTCACTCAAGCAGAAAGGAATTTGGTGTTCCAGGGAGTTAGAGCTTTGGGCAGAATTCCTGTTATTTCGATGGCTCATGTAGAAGAAATGAAGTGGAAAGGACCAGAAGTTTATTTGGCAACCATTTCTATTGAGGGAGGACCTATGGGGATAGATTTGGAAGAAATTTCTGTAGCAGCAGAATATGCAGATGTTTTTGAACCACTCACAGGACCACCACCAGAAAGAGGAGATGCATTTACTATTGAGTTGGAGCCAGGGACTGCTTCAGTATCCAGAGCACCTTATCGTTTAGCCCCATCAGAAATGGCTGAGCTAAAGAAACAACTGGAGGATCTTACAGATAAAGGGTTTGTGAGGCCAAGTAGTTCACCATGGGGAGCTCCTGTTTTGTTTGTGAAGAAGAAAGATGGTAGTTTCAGACTCTGCATAGATTATCGAGGGCTCAATAAGGTTACTATCAAGAATAAGTATCCTTTGCCTAGGATTGATGAGTTGCTAGATCAGTTACAAGGAGCATCGTGGTTCTCAAAGATAGATTTGGCATCAGGGTATCATCAGATTGCTATAGCTGAAGGTGATGTGAGGAAAACAACATTCAGAACACGTTATGGACATTATGAGTTTGTAGTGATGCCATTTGGATTGACTAATGCACCAGCAGCCTTTATGAAGTTGATGAATAATGTGTTTAGAGAATATCTAGACAAATTCGTCATAGTGTTCATTGATGATATCTTAATCTACTCAAGGAGTAAGGAAGAGCATGCTGAGCATTTGAGGATAGTGTTACAGACATTGAGGGATCAAAAACTTTTTGCAAAGTTATCCAAATGCAGTTTTTGGCAGAAGAAGATTGGGTTTTTGGGTCACATTGTTTCAGAAGCAGGAGTTGCAGTAGATCCAGAGAAGATAACAACTATCACTCAATGGCCTAGACCGAAGAATGCTTCTGAAATTCGTAGTTTTCTTGGCCTAGCTGGATACTACAGAAAGTTTGTAAAAGGATTTGCAAGTCTAGCGAAGCCTTTGACACAACTTACCTGTAAGGAGGCAAAGTTTGTTTGGTCAGAAGAGTGTGAAAAGAGTTTTGAGGAACTGAAGAAGCACTTGACTCAGGCACCTATATTGGTATTACCTAAGGCTGGGGTATTATATGTGGTCTATACAGATGCATCAGGAACTGGTCTAGGATGTGTACTTATGCAAGAAGAAAAAGTCATTGCCTATGCATCTAGACAATTGCGTAAGCATGAGGTTAATTATCCAACTCATGACCTGGAGTTAGCATCTGTGGTCTTTGCTTTAAAGGTTTGGAGAGCCTACTTATATGGAGAGAAAGTACAAGTGTTTACAGATCATAAGAGTTTAAAGTATGTCTTCACTCAGTCAGATCTCAACTTGAGGCAGCGAAGATGGATGGAGCTGTTAGCAGATTATGATATGGATATTGCTTATTATCCAAGAAAAGCTAATCAGGTAGCAGATGCACTAAGTAGGAGAAGGAATGATGTGTCCAGAATAAAAGAAGTAGAAGAGCTCGTTTCAACATTGGCAAGTTTGAGTATTTGTTCTGCATCTGTAGAGGAAGGAGTTATGGGATTAGAAGCAGTAAACCAAGCATATTTACTTTGGAGAATTCGTGAAGCTCAGAATGGAGACACTGGTTTACAGAACACAGTGAAGAGTGAAGTAGCAGGCTATCACACTACGAAAAATGGGACACTTGTTTTCAGAGGTAGAGTGTGTGTTCCAGATGATAAAGGTCTGAAGGGAGAGATTTTGAAGCAAGCACATCAGTCACGTTTTTCCATTCACCCTGGTTCTACAAAAATGTATCGGGATCTGAAAAGGTATTATCACTGGAATGGAATGAAACGAGATGTTGGAGAATGGGTAGCAAAGTGCACGACATGCCAGCTAGTGAAAGCAGAACATAGAGTTCCAAGTGGGTTACTACAAAGTTTGCCACTGCCAGAATGGAAATGGGATATGGTAACAATGGATTTTGTCACTGGACTTCCAAGAACTCTGAGTAAGAAAGATGCGATTTGGGTGATTGTGGATAGACTTACTAAGTCAGCTCATTTTCTAGCAGTTAAAAAGACAGATGGTGCAGATCGCCTAGCTCAGATGTACATGGATGAGATTGTAAGGTTACATGGAGTTCCTGCAAGCATTATTTCAGATAGAGATTCAAAGTTCACTTCATTGTTCTGGAAGGCTTTCCAGAAGGCTATGGGAACTAAGGTTAATTTGAGCACAGCATATCATCCTCAGACAGATGGACAATCTGAGCGTACTATACAGACACTGGAGGATATGTTGAGGGCGTGCATGTTGGATTGGGGAGGACGTTGGGAGAGACATTTACCTTTAGCAGAGTTTGCTTACAATAACAGCTATCATGCAAGCCTAGGTATGTCACCGTTCGAGGCTCTTTATGGACGACCTTGTCGCACACCTCTTTGTTGGACAGAAGTGGGGGAGCGCCAGGACACAGAACCTGCAATAATTCAAGAGACAACTGAACAAGTAGAGATCCTCAAGGGAAAATTAAGAGAAGCTCATGATCGTCAAAAAAGTTATGCAGATAAAAGGAGAAAGGATTTAGAGTTTGCAGTTGGAGACTTGGTGTATCTGAAAATGAGAATGTTCAAGGGCTGAACAAGTGGGCTAAGAGAGGAAAACTTAAGCCAAGATACATGGAACCTTATCTTATCATTGAGAGAATTGGAGCTGTGGCTTATCGTCTAGAACTACCAGCAGAACTAGAAGCATTTCACGATGTGTTTCATGTCTCTGTATTACGGAAAGTGGTTGCAGAAAAGGAGTTGATCATACCACAGCCACCTAAAGACTTGGAGCTAGATTTGTCAGTTAAGGGAAGACCTGTGTCAATCCTAAGCCGTAGAGATGGTGGCTCAATGGGAAAGAAAGCTCGAACAGTTCAAATATGTTGGGAAAGAGATGGTATTCAGGAGGTAACATGGGAGACTGAACAACACATGAGACAAGATTATCCTGAACTCTTTACTGAGGATAGTGGAGTTTTGAATTCAGGGACGAATTCTCTAGAAGTGGGGGAGAATTGTGAGACCCGTTTTGGGTTAGCCAAAGCCCAATAAGAACCCAAAACAAAAATTGTACATATGTATATACAAGTATCTTCAGCTTTAAAAAGAAACGTGAGAGAGCTTGTGAACCCTAAAGCAGCAGCCGCATTCTCAGTTTGATCCATCAAAAATCGTGCTAGTGTTTGATTGATATTGGAGAAGGAGATACGAAACTGTGGAGAAGTGAGGAAGGAGAAGGGTGAAAAAATCAGAATCAGAAACGGAACTTACGGGGAGATTTCCAGCTGTTTCGTGAGGTCTCAGAAGCTGATTTTGGTATCATCGGAAAGATCGTCTTCTCAGCTTTCTAAACCATCCGAGATCACGGTAATCCGATTTATATTCAGAGAGTTATGGTTATTTCGTTTTGGACGTCGGATCTGTTCTAAGGTTTCAGAGTTATTTTTCCAGATTCTAGTTGAGGTTTTGTGAATCGATTTCCCGACGATCCGTAAGTCACCAGGAGTCGATCTACATACGGTTTTGTAGATCTCGAACCCACGTTTCCAGATCTTCTTTCAGTGGTCCAATCAGAGGTATACTTCATCCGCAAATCAGCTCTAAAGTTTACGTAAATCCTCTGTTCCGTTTCAGAGAAATCTCAGTTTTCCAGTTTTGCTTCCAGTTTCTGCTTGAGGTTTTGGGGGAAGGATTCCGGTCGAACCCGAACGATTCAGACCAGATTGGTGGTAGATCCAGATAGAGGGAGTGTCAGAGAAGGCAAGGGAGTCGAAGTTGGTACCATAGGAGGTATACTCCCGCTTCCAAGTATCTAGCTTGTTGGACACGAAAGTTTGTTTCTGTTCAAACCTGAATCTGTTTCCGTGTTCTGCAAGTTTCAGGTTCAGTTTTCCTACAACAGTCTCAATCCGTTTTCAGCCAAATTCAGGTGAGGGTGTGATCTGTGGAAACATGATTTATATTCCTTCTATTATATTGCAAGATGCATGGCATATAGGCTTTAGATCTGATTGCTAGATATAGGTTCTGTGATGATATGTTTGATATTTATGGAATGAAATGATATGATATAGTGTGATGATATGATGAAATGTTATGGTATGATATGATATGATGTATGTATGAATAAGAGAGGAAGAATCGAGCTATGGGCCATGGTCTTCCCTCGAAACTGGACTGTGATGGGCCGACGGGTTACATGCAGGTCACGAACGGCTGACGAGCCCGGTATGGGAGTGTATGAGCTACGGCTGCCTCCAAGCATGAGGTTATGAGTTATCACGAGGATGACTGAACCTAAGGATGAATGTTACCTTGCATTATAGCAGGGGTATATGATTGCTAGTGTCTAGGTTTATATGTTTTGTTGATTGTGGTATAATGGTAGAAATGTTTATTATGTTTCGGTGGGCAGAAATGATCTCCTCATTGAGTAATTAATTACTCATCCCCCCTTTCCTCTTTTTCCTTTTTCAGGTGTGGATGGAGACCTCGAATAGTTGCTCAAACTTGTCTTGTTTCTTGGTGTTATTTTGGAACCGGGTTTTATTTATTTTATGCAACAAATGTTTTCATTTTATTAGTTGGTTTTCATGAGATTTTGTTGAATGATTTTAAGATCTTTAATAAGAATGGTTTTTAAGATAAGGTGTTTGGAAAATGAGGAATACGGATGTTACATTGTTCACATGCTCCTCTAGAGACTCATTCGGTCTTCTTCATCACTTTCCCAATCCTCTTTCTCCTGAAATTCTTTGATTAATTTAAGAAGACAATTTCAACACAAAATCTCTAATTGCTCCTCTAAATATATCAATAATAACAATGTCAAATTCCGCAAAGCGCAGATCATCCCTAGTAACAATAAAAAAAAAAATCATTCAAATTTATAGAGACATATTTCACATATTGTTTCATTGCGAATATCTGCTAATTACTAAATTGTTTCATTACGAATGATAAAATTAAAGAATTATTTTAGGCAAATAGATAAAATATAATTTGGTAGTAAAACATAATTACATAAACATATTAACTCATAAATTTCTTAGCATATCAAATAGGTAAATATGTTTGTGGTTATGAAATGTTTAATGGATCATTTGAGTAAAGTTAAACTAATTAACAAAAAAAAAGTAAACCGATTAGTAGGGAGATATAAAAAGGTAAAAAATAATATTCATACTAAAACAGTATAATAACAAAAACAATATTTTCAACGTCATAAAACATATGAACTTATATACTTCTCGTTTCAATAACAAACAATTTAAAGAAGGTGTGGGAAAACCACCTAGTGAACTTATATATTTCTCATTTCAATAACAAACAATTTAAATAAAGCTTAAGATCACTTAGATATTTTGTTTTAAAAAAACTTGTCAAAAATCAACAATCTGGTGAAAAATAAAAGCACAAATAAAGAAAAAAATAAGCATTACTTAAGCAAATTTTGGTCAGAAATGAAATAATTTCGTACAAAATAATGAAAAATGCTTTGAAATTGTTCATAGTATCTTGTTAGATTTTTGAAACTTCTATCCGCCGTCTCCCGATGCAACTAAGAACTGAACTCATGCAGTGGAAGACCGAGCTTCAATCACATAGCCATAGAAGAGACAATCAAAAATCTTTGGTGGTATGTGCTCATGTGAAAACATGCTCCTACATACATAACCAAACAAGACTTCACAATCCAAAGGGAGAACAGAGTCCCAAAGTTGATGAAATCCTTGTCGATGAATTTCATCACACTATTGTTCCGGACAACCTCATACTCTGCAAAAACAACTTGCCAAGCTATAACAGTAACCCAAGTCATCAAGCTTCCTTTGACACTGCCTTGAACCTTGTAGGCAACATAGATAAACCTGTTGTGTCGTTGAAATAGCATGTGAAGCACCCAGTACATGAGAAGATATAAGAAAGTAAAAGAAAAATTATACTAAAATTGTATGATAACAAAAAACTATTTCCAACATCATAAAAACATATTAACTCATATTTTTTTAGTGCTCAAATGTAGTTTTAGACCAATGACAAATCATGTACGCAACTGAAGCAAATATTTAGAGAATATAAGGAGAGTTTTAACATGTATCATCTTCTTCATGCCTTGTGCCGTAGTGTTTTCATCATCTCTCTAGGGTTTCTTATAATCTGTAAACAGAACTTGTATTTTCCTCATCTCTCTAGGGTTTCTTGTTTCATAGTGGAAGTTGAGGGCAAGAGATCCCTCCCTAGACGTACCGGTTAGAGGCCGTGAACAAACTTGTTGTGCTTTTACCTTATTGCAGATTTTTCCTGGTGTTACACAGTTACAGGGAGGTTAAAACCTCAACAAGTACATGCAATCTATACAAGACCAATAAATATTTTCTAAAATTATGGATTAATAATCTTCAAACTTTGAAAACACAATATTAATATAGGTGGATAAGGTTTAGGAAAACTGTTTATTATATGAATGTGCATTTTGAATTTTTTAATTCTATTACAACTTGCATACGCATGAAAACTAAATTAGATCCGAACTACATTTGAATGATTTGTAAATTGTGGGAAATATAAGTTACCAATGTGTGTGGAAGAAGAAGAGTTTTGAAGATTTTGTGGAATTTTGTAAAAATATAAGGAAAAAGTAGATTTCAGGTGGGGTCCATTGCCGTTGTGACTAAAAAGCGAGATTGCATGACCCAACTGATCTCTAATATCTGAATTATTATTATATGTTTATTTTGCATTTCTCATATTGACAACAAATGTTATTCTTTTAAAATGTACAATTACCTACTTACTATCACAGTCAATTATCATCAATTTTGTTATACATTGGGGAACATCATCTAAGTGACTATAAGGCGCACAAATTACTTAACCAATTAAATCAGTTTCATCTTGTTTCAATAGTTTCCACACCGATTTTAATTTTTCTGTTCCAAATTTTATGACACTTATTTTATAAGAAAAAAATCTTCTATTATGACACTTATTATGAAACAGAGGAGTATCATTTTTGAAACAAACTGCTTGAAATTCTGACTTAAGAAAATAAAGAACACAAATTTGCAATAGTTCTCCAATCTTACATTTATTTTCGTTATCAGATGAGTAACTTTTATGACAGAAAATAAAGGTAGGGAGGTTTTTGTGACAGAAAAATAAAGGTTAATTAGCTTTTTTATTTTCTCATTTAACAACTTTTTCCTTTATACAAGCAAGTAGGAGCAGAAAAAATGTTACCTCTGTCTTCAAATATATAGTCGAGAGCTGTCTAAAACTATACGAACACGTCCAAAAAACCCTCTCTTCTGGGAACAAGAAAGACCCAAAAGACACAAACACACCCTAACCCCATCAAAACAGAAATAAAGCAAACCCAAAAAGCTCCCTGTTCTCTCTTTCCTTTTTAAAAACTTAAGTTCCAAAAGTTGAAATGATCTTTTGAAATTGTGAAGCAGAAATTTTATGAAGTGGTTGGTGCTATCTTAGGGTTCACAAGTACAAACAAAGAAGGAGAAGATCATAATCGTCTAACAGGTAAATGAAATAAATTTCAATCTCCAAAACATACGAATGTAAATGTGCTTAAGTCTGAAAATTGATTCAAGATGATAAATGTAAGTGAATAGAAGTTATCAAATTTAAGCAGAAAACTTTATTTGCAATTTTGAAGAGAAACAAAAAATAACAAAACCTAAAAGATAGGAACAGAGAGTGAAGAACAGAGAATTAGTTTGAGATTAGGTATGGAGTTTATGCAAAAAAAATATATTATTTTATTTACATGAGATTTATTTTCTTGTTTTGATGGTTATGGTGGTGAAAATTAATTTTCGTTGCAGAAAAATCAGTTGAAAATGTATGAGGAAAGTTCATATTTTGATCCTAATTCAACGATGGAAGCAATCATCGACAGTAACGGCGGTTTCAGTGAATCAACCACCGCGGCGGAACCAGATTTTCCGGTAAGCCACCAGTTCCAACCACCGCGTGGTGTCGCCGGAAGCACAACAAACAGCTTCAACGACGACCTTAAGCTACCAACAATGGAGGAATTCTCTGTTTTCCCTTCTGTCGTCTCTTTCCCAAACTCAGAAACTCAGAGCAACAACAACCATTTGATCCAACAGATGATCCAAGACTCAAACTGGGCTGTGTCTGCAGACAACTCCGGTTTCTTCATGAACACTTCAGACCCACAAAACACAACAACAAGTCCAATCCCTGATCTTCTCAGCCTCTTGCATCTCCCTAGATGCTCTGTTTCATTACCAAGCTCGAACCTCTCCGATATAATGTCCGGTTCTTGCTTCACATACGACCCTCTCTTCCACTTAAACCTTCCTCCACAACCTCCATTGATCCCTCCTAATGACTACTCAAGCTTCTTGCTTGGAATCGACCATACCAACAATACCACTCAAAGAGATCAGTCAGATGTTGGGAATGAGAACAACAGTGCTCAATTCGACAGCGGAATCATCGAGTTTAGCAAAGAGATTAGACGTAAAGGAAGAGGGAAACGAAAGAACAAACCTTTTACAACAGAGCGTGAGAGAAGATGCCACTTGAATGAGCGGTACGAGGCCTTGAAATTGCTTATTCCTAGCCCTAGTAAGGTTAGTTTCTGTTTTATGACTAATTTTAATCTTTCATTCATTTGTCTTAAAAAGTTTCTTGATTAGGTTATGTAAAATGTGTTGTTTTAGGGAGATAGAGCATCTATTCTTCAAGATGGAATCGATTACATTAACGAGCTGCGCAGAAGAGTAAGCGAGCTTAAGTATTTGGTTGAGATGAAAAGATGTGGAGGGAGAAACAAGAGACACAAGAACAGTGAAGTAGACAATAACAACAACAACAACTCGGATGATCTTAATAATAATGACGATGATGGTGATGAGGAGAACATGGAGAAGAAGCAAGAGAGCGATGTGATAGACCAATGTTCAAGCAACAACTCTCTGAGATGTTCATGGCTTCAGAGGAAATCAAAAGCAACAGAAGTTGATGTTAGGATTGTTGATGATGAAGTTACGATCAAAGTTGTGCAGAAGAAGAAGATTAACTGTTTGTTGTTTGTCTCCAAAGTGCTTGATCAGCTTCAGCTTGAACTTCACCATGTCGCTGGAGGACAGATTGGTGAGCATTACAGTTTCTTGCTTAACACCAAGGTAATTAGTGATCAATGAATTTATGCTAATCTTGATTATGGATATGAATCATGGATTATTTGATTGATTTTTTGGTAATAATGATTGAATTAAAATGCAGATAAATGAAGGATCAACAATATATGCAAGTGCAATAGCAAACAAAGTGATTGAAGTTGTGGATAAACACTACATGGCTGCTCTTCCCATCAATCACTTTTAATTATTAGGCTAATCTCATCTATCTTCTGACGTTTTTTTTTTTTTTGGTTTGTTAATTTATAAATCCATGTTCACTTGTTTACAAAACTCAATAAAAACTTAGAGCTGAATTTAGGTTATATAGTTTAAAATTTTCTGTTATATGTCGGTTAAAAGTTATAACAAACAGCATGTAAATGCAATATTCTGCTAAACCAGTTTTATTTGCTGGAAAAGTGAATGATTCAGAGAAATATTGATGATGAAGCAGATAATCATGCATCCTCCAAATATATTTTAAGGTCTAATCAAATAAAACCAAGACAATTCCAAATAGTTATGTCCCATTCTTGTTTGGGTTTTGGTAGAACTAACTAGTTCTGGTTCAACTTAGAGTTGACTCCTCGGAGTTTAAATACGGTTTAGTCATGTTAACCGATAAAAATATGATATGATCGATTAATTTTAAACTAATGACTCCCTGAAAAGTTTATAAATGAATCCTTACGTAGAATCCAACACTGGCATTAATTTTGTATATATAAATTTGCTCTGATTTCAAGAAGACTATAAACCAGATCGTTGGGCATAATAATTTGTTGGTCTCACACAGCACAACACAAGCAAATTAATATTTTAAATTTATTTATACAACCCTATGATTCTAAATTAATCAACTTTTGTACATCTAGGATTTAGGATGGGGCCACTGGCAGTGTTTGTAGTTTGTACGAGAGGGTAGGTGACCAAAAATTTCAGTTTCTTGGTTGTGGGTCCTACTTCATTTCTCAAACAACCCCACTCTCTTTGCCATAAACATATATCGCATGATCTAACCGCAACGGATAACTTATAGTACTATTTTGTCAATTTAAAGTTAATCAATCCAAAATTGTTTTTGTAGGGTTGATGTTTACTGAATTTATTTAGTCTTCTTCAAAACACTTAACGTCGGAGAATAACTCATGTCAAAATTTATGATCGAATAGTGAATTACCTATCTTCAAAACAGTCCATTTCATTTACTAAGTTCCCTATTATATTTCTTCAAGCATCTAATGTCATCTGACGGGTAATTTAAATTTGTATTCATAATTCATTCAATCATAAAAGTTTTGTTTGGCATAATCCGTTCTTTCATTTTTTTTTTCATGTATATAGATACTGTTCTTTTTATGTTAATGATTACACAAAAAGGGATTAAAAGAATTCATACACTCTTTTCGCGATGGCGATTCTAGATCTGTCGGAATGAAGCTTCACGATAATTTCAATTGCGGTTTCGGTTTTCTCTATTCGGTTAATTTGCGGTGCTATGAGGTGGATTCAAGCCGATCACAGAGATCTGTGTGGCTTTTAGTGGCAGATTTTACGATATCTTGGAGATCTTATGTTTTCAACGGAGATGGAGAATTCGGAGTAAATGATTCGGATTTTTCAGAGACAGATCTTGTCCGAAGATGTACCGGTGGATCGGATCTCGCCGATATATGGGGAGGATCTCGAAAGAGCTATTCGGGGAAAGTAGAAGTGCAGAAGTGGAGAAATAAGGAAACCAGGGGAATCATCTTCGTCAACGAGAGAAGAAGAATCGGATTAACAGAGGATACGTCGGTGCAATCACAAGTCCAATTAAGGGCAATTCCTTTACATAGGAAATTTCGGTGGTTTCAATTATGGAATTTGGGGAGTTATTCGGATTCTTTTAGGGATTGGATTGAGATTAGAATGGGTTTTTTCGAGATACGAAGTTATGAGGAATTACAGTATAAGAATCATCTGAAGAATAGACATAACACTCACCTTGGCTTTCATTTTCATTATCTCGGTTTTTGCTCTCTCGACTTTTTTGGTCTAGCGGGTATCTTTCTTTGTGTGAGCTCTAATACTCTCTTGGTTTTGCGTTTTCCTGTTCAAGGAATCGACATGACTCAAGGAGCTTTGGTTGGTGGTGGTGCTTCTCACGGTGGTAACAAGAAGCCGGTGTCTCGTTTGAAGATCACGGTCCCACGTTTTGACAACACAGCGTTGATCAGTGGTTATTCAAAGACGCTGATTGGTCGTTGTATGAATCCATCGGCGCAGGATGTTCAAGCCTTGCTGCACCATATGCCTCGGTTTTGGAAGATGGAGGATCGAGTAGGAGGAGCGGATCTGGGATTAGGGAGATTCCAGTTTGACTTTGAAAATGAGGAGGATATTGCGGAGGTGTTCAAGCTTGAACCGTTCCACTTCGACTATTGGATGGTGTCGTTGGTGAGGTGGGAGCCAATTGTGGATCCAGCATATCCCTCGGCTTTAAAGTTTTGGGTTCGTTTGATGGGTGTTCCACTACATTTTTGGGCGGAGACTACTTTCCGATGTATCGGTGAAGCAATTGGCGAAGTCCTGGAGGTGGATATTGATGGAGGAAGAGTTCGGGTATGCCTTGATGGGTATAAGCATTTGATTTTTGAAACTACAGTGGAGTTTCATAGTGGGGAAGAGACGGTGGTGGCATTGCGCTATGAACGCTTGTTTGGCTTTTGCCGAGAGTGCTCAAGCCTGTGTCATGATGTATTGCAGTGCCCGCTTCTTCGCAAAGCTAGAGAGGAACGTGAGAACCAGAAGAGAAGAGATGAGAAGCCGGATGGAGGCATGATGAGTTACAAAGGAGTGGTGATTAACGGACCAAGTGGGGAGAATGGAAATGGGAGGAATCCCCATGCCAATAGTGCCTGAGACAAGGGAAGAGAGGGGGAAGAAACCAGTGGTTTTTAGAGGCAATGGGAAACACGGTGGGGAGAGCTCAGGGACACGCAAACCTGGGCCATACATGCCTCAAGATCAGCGGAAGAGGATAAACAGGCCAACTGCGATGTCGGGGAAGGTTGTGGCTCCGGTTACTGTCAATACGGTGCCGGCTCACAGAGTGGAGGATCCTAGCCCTAGCCAACACTCAGCTAAGAAGGTGAGAAAGGCTATTGATTTTACCGTTGCTGTGGAGGGCTTGGATGAGATGGGTAACAAGGTGGCAGAAACGGATGGTGAGAAAGTCGGGGAGAATGAGATTCCGGCTATCTCCATGATTCCTGACCCGACTCTACAAGAGGAGGGAGAAGACGGTGAAATTTGGTGGAATGAAGTGATCCAAGAGGAGGAAGCGGAGAAGAATGAGGAGGAGCTTGTGGAGCAGGTGGAGACAGGTGATAACAATGATATGCTGGTGGATGGAAATGACAATGAGGCGAACCAAATGGATGTGGAGAGGTTTGTCGAGGTTGAGGCAAAGGAGGTGGGAAAAGGCAAACAGGAAATGGAGAAGAAAACGGGAGTAAGGAAGAAGGTGACTAGGGCTACCTTGGGAGTTGGTGGAGGTCCACTCCGACGTCTCGTACATGGTGCAAAAACACCAAAGAGGAAGGTCGTTGTGAAGGAGCATCACCGTGGAGGAGAGAAGATTGCCGGAAAGGAAATGGAGCCGGCGGGAAACCCATCGGATGGGTCCGAGACTTCTAAAACTATTGGTTAATGCGGGTGTTGAGCTGGAATTGCCAGGGACTGGGTAATAGTTACACAATAAGTTATCTTCGGGAGGTTTGGTGGAAATTCAGACCAGAGTTTTTATTTCTTTCAGAGACAAAGCAGGATTTCAATTTTTTGCACCAATTTCAGTTTCATTTTGGTTTTGATAATTTGTACACGGTTGACCCATGTGGCACAAGTGGTGGTCTAACCTTATTTTATAATAATAATTTTAGTGTTTCAATTGTTGAGTCTTCAAAAAATTTAATTGATACACAAATTACATTTGAAGGAAAACAAATGTTTATGACTTTTATCTATGGAAACCCGGTTCCAAAACATAGAGATTATTTATGGGAAAAATTAACAAGAATTGGTATCTCCAGAAATGAACCTTGGTTTTTAATTGGAGACTTTAACGAAATCACCGGTAATCATGAGAAACAAGGAGGTTCAATAAGATATGCTTCAACATTTATGCCATTCAAACTTATGATAGCTGACTGCGGTTTGGTTGATTTCCCAAACCATGGAAACACTTTGTCATGGAGAGAAAGAAGATGGGGTAAAATTGTGCGGTGTCGGTTAGATAGGGCTTTAGCTACAGAAGATTGGCATGATTTGTTCCCAAAGTCACATGTGGAATATCTAAAAATGATTGGCTCCGACCATCGGCCGATCCTAGCGACACTCGATAATAAAATTCCAAGGCGACGTAAACAGTTTAGATTTGATAAATGATGGATAGAACAAGACGGATTCTCCGAAGCTATTGAGAGGGGATGGAGGGACAAGAGAAAAAACCGAAAGCCAAAACTGGTTGATATGATAGGCAGTTGTCGCCACGAGATCTCACGATGGAGACACGAGCATAAACCCTATGGTAAAGAAAAAATTGCGGATATGCAGCGAATTCTAGAAGAAATACAAGATGATGATAATCGGACACAAGACGATCTAATTGATATTACACAACGGCTAAAGGAGGCATACAAGGATGAGGAACAATATTGGAAACAAAAAAGCCGTAATTTATGGCTTAAAGATGGGGATCTAAATACAAAGTTTTATCATGCAACAACAAAGCAACGAAGGGCAATCAATAGGATGGTAGGACTACATACAAAGACGGATACTTGGGTCACAGGGGAAAAGGAGATGGAAAAGGTGGCCGTTGAATATTTTTCGGATCTATTTACCACTTCCTCACCAGACCATTTTACAGAGGTCTTGGAGGGAATAACACCACTCATTACAGAAATGGATAATGCATTTTTAACAAAACCAGCAACAGAGGAGGAAATACGGGCAGCATTATTTTTGATGAATCCAGAGAAAGCACCAGGACCGGATGGAATGACGGCACTATTTTTTCAACGTTCATGGCCTGTAATCAAATCGGATATTCTGAGTTTTATTAATGACTTCCTAGCTTCGGGTCTCTTTGACGAGCGTTTAAATAGGACAAATATCTGTTTAATCCCAAAGACGGACAGGCCAACCAGGATGACAGAATTACGACCTATAAGTCTTTGTAATGTTGGTTACAAGATTATCTCCAAAGTACTATGTGAGAGGTTAAAGACAGTACTATCAAAGTTGATTTCTGAGACTCAGTCGGCTTTTGTCCCGGGGAGACTAATCTCAGACAACATTCTGATTGCACAAGAAATGTTCCACGGACTACGGACCAACAAATCATGTAAAGGAAAATATATGGCAGTTACGACGGATATGAGTAAGGCATATGATAGAGTTGAGTGGCAATTTGTGGAAGAAACAATGCGAAAGATGGGTTTTTCGGAACAATGGATTGGCTGGATTATGCAGTGTATCAAATCGGTTGAATATAAAGTATTGATCAATGGACAACCGAGAGGGAGAATTATCCCGCACAGAGGATTACGGCAAGGAGATCCCTTGTCTCCCTATATTTTTATATTATGTACAGAGGTATTGATATCAAATTTACAGAGGGCAGAAGCAACCAAGAGGATCACGGGTTTGAAGGTTGCGAGAGCAAGCTCACCGGTTTCACATCTCCTTTTCGCGGATGATAGTTTATTTTTTTGTAAGGCTACGGCGGAAGAGAGTGAGATTCTCTTAAAAATTCTAAAAGATTATGAACGAGTGTCAGGTCAAAAGATAAATTTTGACAAATCTTCTATACAATTTGGGCATACCGTGGATACAAGTGTACGCACAACTATTCATCAAATTCTAGGCATACATAAGGTGGGGGGTGTTGGAAATTATTTGGGCGTTCCGGAAAGTTTAGGAGGGGCAAAAACTAAAATCTTCAGTTTTCTCATTGATCGACAAAATAAACGGATAAATGGATGGACATCCAAAGTTCTTTCGAAAGGGGGTAAAGAAGTGATGGTTAAATCAGTCTTATCAGCAATGCCCACACATGTAATGTCCTGTTTTAGGTTGCCAAAGGGCGTAACAAATAAACTTACAAGTGCGGTGGCTGATTTCTGGTGGAGTACGAATTCCTAAACACGTGGGATGCATTGGCTGGCATGGAAGAAGTTGTGCCGTCACAAGCGAGAGGGGGGTTTGGGTTTTCGGACTATTGAGGATTTTAACACGGCTCTACTAGCAAAACAGCTATGGAGGTTAATGGATTACCCGGATTCGCTTTTTGCTAAGGTTTTCAAGGGGAGATACTATCGGAACTCTACTCCCTGGACCCAATAAGATCTTACTCTCCGTCATATGGATGGCAGAGTATTATCTCTGCTCGATCTCTGGTAAACAAAGGGCTCATTAAAAGGGTCGGTTCCGGATCATCCATCTCAGTTTGGTATGATCCATGGATTTCTGATTCCCGCCCGAGGTCAGCTATTTGTATCGGTGTTAATTACTATCCCCACCTGAGGGTGAGTGAGCTAATTAACACTCAGACTTCAACGTGGAATCTTCCACTATTGCAACAATTGTTCGAGAGCACTGAAGTTGCTCGTATTACTGGGATTACGATTTCTACTGGTCTTAAGCCAGACAGGACTGGATGGATGTTCACTCAAACAGGGCGATATACGGTTAAATCGGGGTATAAGGTCCTCCAGGAGTTCCCGGACGTGGAGGGCACACCGGTATTCGGACCAGACACACGTAGACTGCAAGCTCAGTCCTGGAAAGTAAAATGTACTACGAAGCTACAACATTTTCTTTGGCAAATTATTAGTGGATGTTTATCAGTTGGGGCACGGCTGTGCAATCGAGGGATGCGCGTGGACCCGCTGTGTGTGCGATGTGGAATGGGGGATGAGACAATTAATCACATGTTGTTTGAATGCCCCCGGCTCGACAAACATGGGCCTTATCACCAATTCCAACCCCACCACAATGTTTTCCGACGGACTCTATTTACTCAAATATGGCACATCTCTTCTGGAATCTTCCAGACAATGACGATATGCTAATATTTCCATGGTTACTTTGTTTTATTTGGAAGGCCCGGAATTACAAAGTTTTCTCCAATACGGATCAAGATCCGAGAGAGGTTTTGGATTCTGCAATAACAGAGGCTCGTGCATGGGCCGCAGCCCAACCGGCTGGAGAGATGGACAATGTGCGGATAGACATATCAGCGACGCAACCGCCTTGTGGTGAATGGTGTCAAATAGATGGAGCCTGGAAAGAGTCAGAGACTCGAGCGGGACTTGGGTGGTACAATCTAGACCCGGAATCGGGTTCAGTTTTGGTTGGGGCCTGTAATTTACGACGGGGTCTATCCCCTTTGCAGACGGAACTGGAAGCGTTGGTGTGGGCCATGCAAATCATGTTGGTCTACAATAAACGGCGAATGCAGTTTCAAACTGACTGCACTGAACTGGTGAAGATGGTGTCTACACCGACAGCGTGGCCGGCGTTCGAAACACTGCTTGAAGAGGTGGAGAAGTGCAAGAGGCGGTTTGAGGCTTTCTCCATAATCCACATACCGAGGACAACAAACACGAAGGCAGACAAGCTAGCACGGAGTGCTCGAGATCAGCCTTATGACGTGTATTATGTAAACATCGCTCCCTGAGCTGATTTAGGGGGAATTTAGGCTGTTGACAAAAAAAAAAAAAAAAAAAAAAAAAAAAAAAAAATGATTACACAAAAAGGTTCTAAAGTAGAATAATTTAATGAGAAATTGATCTACTAGGGAAGCAATATATTGATAAGTTGTATAAAGTATAAACAGATTAATGGTTGGAAACTTTGAATGTTTTCTTTTGGTTAAAGGATTTGAACTTGGAATGTTTATTGTAACAAAATTCTTTTTTATTTTCATATCGATTTTTGTAATAGTTGGACACTATAGCGGCGTTAAGACTGCATGTCATTATTGACATATTTTTTTATTTATTATTGTTAAAGGACATAAATGAATTTTATTTTTATAAAACACATTAGAAAATATACAAAAAAATGATCAACAATATTTATCTATGAAATCGGGTTAGAAACATATCTATATCGAGACAACATTTTAGTGTCCAAGATGAAAAAGAAAGAACACGAATATATATTTTTTAATCCAACAATTTTTTTTTTTCCATCTTTTACTCGTCTATTATTGTCTGTATCCATCAGAAAATGTCCTTGTATTTTTTAACAAAAAAGAAAAGAAAATGTCCATCTATTTAAAACACACACAGAGAGAGATTGTTTATGAAATCTTCTTCTTCTCGTGAGAATGAGAAGTTTTCCAGGAGAACTAATTATCGTTGCGAGGTTGAAAATTTCCCACACCGATTAATCTTTTATCTTCCATCTTTTTTTTAATATATTGTCACAAATCCTCTGTTTATCACCAAACTCAAACCCTAAACCCATTTGTGAATCTTTTGATCAAAGAACTTGATCCATAGAGCAATATTCCTCCTTAAGAGAATGCAAACCCTGGCTTTATTATCAAGATTATAAAAGATCGAAATAGTTTGAAAATAGGTTTTGAATTTATTTGTTTTCCAAAATTTAATTTCCTGAAAATGATTAAATGTTCTGTTAATTTTTCAGGTGTTAAAGAACCATCGAACCATTTTCATGGAAGCTCGCAGATTTTCTTCCCGTTTTTCTCATGAGCGAAGATGCCTTGTAATCGAGAGGTACCATGAATTGAGAATGCTCATTCCTGTCCCGAGTAAGGTTAGTTATATATTTTCGGTTTTATGACAAACTTGATTTCTCGTTCATTCTCTCCAATCTCTCTTTGCTTTAATTCGCATTATATGTTATTAGGGAGTAGATAGAGCAACCGTTCTTCAAGATGGAATTGATTACATCAACGAATTACGCAGACGAACAAGCGAACTTAAGCATTTGGTTGAGAGGAAAAAAAGTGGTGTGAGACACAAGAACAATAATGAAGATGTTACTAGGAAGATACGTCATCCATTCGTCAAGATGACACTTGATAGTAATGATGATGAAAACATGGAGAAGAAGCCCGGGAGCGATGTAACAATAAAAAACTCGCTGAGGAAATCAAAAGGAACAGAAGTTTATGTTAGCATTGTCGATGATGTAGTAACAATCAAAGTTGTGCAGAAGAAGAAGATTAACTGTTTGCTGTTTGTCTCCAAAGTTCTTGATCAGCTTCATCTCGATCTTTGCCATGTCACTGGAGGAAAATTTGGTGAGCATTACAGGTTCTTGCTCAAGACCAAGGTTAGTGATGGATGAACATATAGTTAATCAATATATACCGTCACTGCTTATGGATTTGAATATTTTACTGGACTAATTAAGTTTTGGTAATGATTATGGAATAAAATGCAGATATATGAAGGATCAACAATACATGCAAATGCAATAGCAAACAGAGTGATTGAAGTTGTGGATGAACACTGCATGGCTGCTCTCTCCCAAAAATAACTATTAACTATTAGATTAACTTCATCTATTTTATGACGTTCGTTGTCCATTAACTCATATCTCTTGGAGCCAAATTTGGGTTATGTATCTATTTAAATCTTTTTTTAATAAAAATGTCAGATCCATCAATAGTTCCTTTGTGCCATATTCATATTATTATTATTATATAAGAAAGAACAATGTGGTAATTTTCAACACCGAAAATGCAAATAATATCTTTGGATATTTCCTGTTAAAATAAGCAATACATGTAAATGTCATATACTTAAACGGTTAAACCATTCTAATTGTTACTGCAAAAATCATGGTTCAAAAAAGCGAAGCATGATGATTTGACAATTCTCGTGTGGTTCATTGGCTACACACCCATCTTGATTCTTAAGCATCAATGATTTCCACGTTAGCAGTTCGAGTTTAACTGATGGTTTTGAAATGTCTTTAACGTTTTATAACTTTTCTAGTAAAACCTTATAAATTTGCTTTTCTAAAGCAAGTTATACTTTCAAATTAAACAATATAAAGTCAAATCATTCACTAATAAATTATGAACATGAATAACAAAATTCAACAATCCATAAATAAACTTGACAACTCCATAATTATCTAAAGTTTCATAAGTTTTAACATAATTCATCTTTAACTCTCCTTCTTGTTGCCTATAGTATGTGCTAAGTCAGTGCATGACTTTCAGTCACGAATTTCGTGATTCATGTCACATGACCCCAAATTACCCTGTCCCATGTTGGCTTAAGCTTGAAGTTAGTTTGAGATACAAGCGTCTTGATCATTGAGGAATAGAATAATAGTATATGTATGAGCTATCTAAATATATGTTTTCAATCAAGGATTTAGTTTATCTATATCTTGCCAAAGTACGACATAACTTGTGATTTGAAAGAATTTTAGTTTTGAGTTAGTTTCTAAAGCAATATTATGAACCAGCCCAATTCGAGACAACATTTTTTTTTACAAATTTTCTGTGTTTATTATTTTATCTAGTATTAATTTATAGTGTTTATGTAGTATAGGCAATCATATTAAACATAAATGAGCCCAAAATAGATCGGTTAGATATAATTTGGCAAAACCAGTTCTTATTCAAATTAGATTTGACGTTTTCTGTGAAATATAGTCCTGTTAACTACTAATTCTATTCTTGAATAAGTGATATTTTATATGTTTGTACACAAATTAATAAATCATTTTTTTTCCTAAACAATTTTATCATTAATCCCAAAATAATTCAAGCAGTAAAGTTTCAGTAAGCAGAAATCAAACAGTCAAAAATCAAAATATAATTAGCTTTTGTATTAAGATGTGTAAACACCACTTATTTGTAAACAATTTTTTTTCAAAAAATACCACTTATTAGAGATGAGAGAAATTATATTTTTTACGAAATATCTCTAGTGGTAAACAGGTTTTAAAAAAAAATGATATGATTGGTTTACTATAATCAGATCCTTTATGAAACATTCGATTTTTGACTCTATAATGACTGAACCGGATTGAATTTGTATATATCTCAAAAAGCCGCAATAATAACCAAATCGGTTGGTGTATACTTACTTTTTGGACCAGAACATAAATTCAACATTTACGAGTTACGATTAAAAATAAAAATTACCTTAAATGTTTTTTTTTAAATGATTAAAATATCTCTAATGATTTATACAAAATTAAATAAGTTGAAAATAGTTTATCCCACTTTGAAACGTGGGTCCTACCTCTTCAATCTTCTCAAACAACCATACTCTCTTTGATATAAACACATATTGCATGACCCAACCGCAACAGGAAACTTATACCGATATTTTTGTTGATATGAAACTACTCTATCCAACAGTTTTTTTTATTTCTTAGGGTTGATGTTTATTTGCAGACAAAAAGGTTTTAAATACATAATTTAATGAGAAAATGATCAATTAAAAGAGCAACATATCTCTTGATAAGTGCTTATAGTGTAAATTAATTTATGGTAGTTTATTGGTCAAAGAATTTACTTTTATTATAATATTATTTTTTTACTTATAAACCATGGTAAGATGATTTAAAATGTATAGCTTTTTTCATAAGTTTCAAATATTAGTTTACATTTCTATTCAGACCAAAAAAAATTGTTTTAAGTGATATCATTAACTGTCAATATGCGTTTGTTCTGATCATCGGTGGTTAAGGTAGTCTCATAGTCGTTGTGTTAGATGGTGGGAGGCGTAATGCTCTGTTAGTCCTGGATTGGTGGTCAGAGAAGACGTTGAGATCGGTAATGCTCTGTAGGGTACAAAATCAGATCAAGTTAGGATTTGATTAGGTTTTTTGTTTTCTGTATTTTGTAACCCAAATTAGACAGTAATGAAATGGATCCTCTAACAAATAGAAAGTGATTTACAAAAATGAGAGAGAAAGGGCAAAAAGGGAAAGAGCAGAAAATGCTAAATGGTTAGGTGGTGAGTCGTCTGCCGTGAGGGAGGCAAAATATGGGACCCACAGTCAGAGAGAGGATCGCGTTCTCTTGATAATGACGGAAATGCCCCTTAAGTCGTTGCATAGACCTGAGAGATTCGGCATGGGACCCATCTGCTGATCCTTGTAACTAACCTTCATGTTTGGCCACACTGAGAAATCTCATGCTCCAACCAAAACATCCCAAAAAAACAATATTACAATAAAAAATGCAAAAGTTTTTTTACGGCAGATGCTTTTTTTTTACATTTGCTGAAGCTGGAAAGTGAAAAGCGTCAACAGTTACACAATTTAGATATATTTAATATCATCCATAAAATTTGGATTAGAGATACAACATTTTTTCAGACTTGCAACGAATTTTAAGTATATGTGTAGATTACCTTGCAAAAGAGATACGAATGATAGCTTCTGAGAGTCTGAGACCAACCTATTTGCACCAAACTATATTTAAAAATGATATTTTGGAAGGACAAATACAACTTTTTTTGTGGTTCCAGGTGGAAAAATAAACAAGAAGATTCTTTTAATCCAGTAATTAATAACTTTCTTATTTTTTTTTTAGTTTTTACCCTTCTTCTATTGGTTGTCACCATCTGCAAATGTCCGTATATTTGAAACACAGAGAGGGAGACACTTAAAGAGAGAAACTTTGTTAATGAAAATTTCGTCCTTCTCTTGAACTTGAGAAAGTATACAGAAGCACAAATCGTTTCCAGGTTGAAATTTTTTCCAGCTCCAGTTACTCTTTATCTTCCCTCTCGTTCTGTTTATTGTCAATTAATCCTCTGTTTATAGTCAAACTCAAACCCTAAACCCATTTCCGAACAATCTCTAGGATACTTGTAGAAATCTTCCTCCTTTAAGAGAATCTAAAACAGGGTTTTGAATCTAAGATTATAAAAGAGCGAACTTGTTTATAATTAGGTACACATTTCTGGGTTTTCCAAATTTTTTAATCTTCAAACTGTTTTGATTTTCAGGTGTTAAAGAATCATCTAAATCGCTAAACCAAATTCATGGAAGGTCACAGCTTTTTCCCATTTTTGCTCTAATTCCTCATAAAGTTTGTTCCTTTTCTGATTAAAAAGTGTTTCCTCTTACAAAAACGCAGAAGTAAAAGGAAGCATTTACGAGGAGATGGGTTGTTTCGACCCCAACACTCCGGTGGATCCCAACTTCTCTCACGCCGAACCACCACCACCACCGCCGCCGCAAAACCTAGTCGCCGGAAGCACCACCAACAGCAACTGCAGTGTCGACGTGGAAGAGCTCTCTGAATTCCACCTCAGCCCACAAGACTGCCCTCAAGCTTCTTCAACACCTCTCCAATTCCACATCAATCCTCCTCCTCCTTGTGACAATCAATTCCAAAACAACATCAATCTCATTCACCAAATCGCTCATGAACAACAACAACAACACTCGAATTGGGATAACAGTTATCAAGATTTCGTCAATTTGGGTCCAAACGCTTCACCAACTCCTGATTTGCTCAGTCTCTTACACTTGCCTAGATGCTCACTCCCTCCTCCTCACTCCATGCTTCCAAACTCGTCAATCTCCTTCTCCGACATCATGTCATCTTCCTCCGCTGCTGCCGTCATGTACGACCCTCTCTTCCACCTGAATTTCCCTCTGCAGCCTCGTGACCAGAGCCACCACCAGAGAAACGGCTCTTGCCTTCTAGGAGTTGAGGACCACATTCAGATGGAGGCTAACGGAGGAGGAGGAGTGAACATGATGTATTACGATGGAGGAATCAACAACAACAACGATAACGACAATGGTGGATTCGACAGTGGCGTTCTCGAGTTTAACAATGGAGGTAAACGCAAAGGCAGAGGATCAGGAAAGTCGAGAACTTTCCCTACGGAACGTGAGAGAAGAGTCCACTTCAACGTTCGCTTCTTCGACTTGAAGAATCTCATTCCAAATCCCACAAAGGTTCTTACTTTACTTCATTTGATCTTGTTCATAAGACTATTAAGTGACATTGTTTCTGTTTATAGAATGATAGAGCATCGATAGTTGGAGAGGCGATAGATTACATCAAGGAGCTGTTGAGGACAATAGAGGAGTTTAAGATGCTTGTGGAGAAGAAGAGGATTGGGAGGTTCAGGAGCAAGAAGAAAGCTAGAGTCGGTGGTGGTGGTGGAGATGAAGAAGATCATCAAGAAGAGGAAGACACTGTGAATTACAGACCACAGAGTGAAGTGGACCAGTCTTGCTTCAACAAGAACAGCAGCAACAACGCGCTGAGGTGTTCTTGGCTGAAGAGGAAGTCGAAAGTCACTGAGGTCGATGTGCGTATCATCGATGACGAAGTCACCATCAAGCTTGTCCAGAAGAAGAAGATCAACTGTCTGTTGTTCACGACGAGAGTTCTTGATCAGCTTCAGCTTGATCTCCACCATGTTGCTGGAGGACAGATTGGTGAGCATTACAGCTTCTTGTTCAACACTAAGGTAAAATGAAAACGTTAGTGGATTTAATATAATCTCAATACTCGTTTAAACTGCAAAGAACAATCAAAGCTAATCTTTTTTTTTTGGCAATTTTGATCATTTTGGGGCAGATATGTGGAGGGTCTTGTGTGTATGCAAGTGGAATTGCAGACACAGTGATGGAAGTTGTGGAGAAACAGTACATGGAAGCGGTTCCTAGCAACGGCTACTGAGACATGAGACAGAGTGGTGGTTAATTGCTTTTTTTAATAACTATGTTTTACTCCCCTAATGACTGAGGATTAGTTATTAATCACTTTGGTAATTTTCAAGTTATTTGGCTAGAGTTTTAGAGCTAGAGATGAGAGGCGCTCTTAGTCTGGATTTTGTCTAACTCTACTTCTGTTTTCTAGCTTTATGGATTACGTTTTTTCGACTATTTAAAATTTTAAATCGGTTTTTCGTTAGATTTTCTAGCTATTGAAACTCTCGAATCCGTTGAAAAATTAAGACGCCAATGAGACTGAAACTTGTTCCAAAATTCTAGATTACAAATATTTGTGTTGGGCTTTTGAACTTTTGCATCTCTTTAATCACAGGCCCGTTTTTGGATTGCGCTTCAACTTTACCGGACCGGCTCAAACTTCACTATATTTTTTAATTTTTAACTTTGAGAATGCACCAAGGACAATTAAATTTGTCACGCTTTGTCTTAGATCTTTGGATATGTTTCTGTTTTTGTTCCCAGCTCTCTCCCTCTCTTGTCATTTTCTTGTTGTCTAGTACTCTTTTAGCCTATTCCTTGCTTAGAAGTTAGAAGTTAGAACAGGATCACATGTTAGTTTTTAAAAAATATATAAATTGTACCATTCAGAACAAAAAAATATTAAAATATGGTGTACCAAATACAAATATTCAAATTATTAGTTCTCAGTTAGCATATTACTTGATATAAATATTTTCGCAAATTCACATTTGGGTAGATCACTGAATTAAAGAAGCAAGCCATTAACTTCTTTTTTTTTTTTTTTTTTTTTTTTTTTTGGAAGCAAATAACATTAAAACAATAGAAATCCAGAACTTCTTTTATATTAAACTTATTTTTTCCAAGTATTAACTTTTTAAAAAGGTTTAATTATTATTATTATTAATTTTCAACTTGATAACATATTATATAACCTGAGAAAATACAATAACATGATACAACTAGAATTAAAATAAGTACTAAGGAAGTAAGGAGGGGACCTTGTTTTGTTAAACCATGGGCTTGATTGAAGTCTCGAGAAACATGAGTTTATCTACTTATCTATAAACACAAGAAATCAGCAAATTAATCTATAAACACTAGCAAAAAATGGTGTTATAGTAAAAGAATTTTCTTGTTTTCTATGTATAGTATGACATTTTCTAATGATTTAATATAAATAAAATACCTGATAATCAGTGCTAGAGATAAGAGTATATTAGGTCTTGCCGAAAACTAAAATTAATATGTGCTAGAAGAAAGTGATGTCAAAAACAAACAAAACAATGTGCGAGAAGTGTTAACCATCTAAATATATGAAACAAACTAACCAAGGAAATATATCAATAGTGCTAAACACCAACCATGTGCTGTCTGATTTTTATAAAACATGAAAACGAATTACAAATTAATGTTTTTTTATTGGTATGATTTAATTTGGTTCTCTTCTTTTAACAAATATAAAAACTTGAAATTTTTTATCGTTTATAAATTGAAAAGTTATTTGATTTTATGTTCATTCAAATGAAAAAAAAAAAGAGTTGAATATTCCAATGTTGTTTGATCCTTTGATGATACAACATTCTTAACCAAGGTTGATACATTTTCCGAATTACATTGTATGATCGATAATCAAATGTGTATTATTTCTCAAAAATCATGTAGTTCAAACTCAAAACTAATTGATCATAAACGGAATGTCTCATGAATTTTGTATACTACTGTTGAGATATATTTATCTTCAGTGTAAGATATTATAATAGACTTTCATCGAGATGAATGCGCGACTAGTCTATCATTTCGGAAATATTATGCTAAATGAAACTCTGATACTATACCAAGATGTATCAAAGAATGAAAAAGATATAACAAAACAAGGCTTTCATTATGAATCAAGGTACTTACAAACGTACTCTCAATGTATACTGTACATTCAACAAACAAACAGCAATGTCACAGAAAGTTATTTTTTTCTTCCCACACTCGTACTTACTGCTAGATAAAGACGAAAGACAGTTCACAAATCATTAGATAACAAATTAAAGTCAAACTTATATTCATCTTATGTAAAGTAATTCATGTCATCCAACAAAATCTCAACCTTTTTATTTTGATTTTAACGTCTTTGGTGATTCCGTAGCTTTATCGGGTTAAGAATGTTTCAACAAAAAAAAAAAGTTAACAAAGAAAGTCAAACAACCAATCAATAATTTGAGATTAACAATAATGATAACGAAAGCATCATCAACGACGTATTAACACAATTTTATATGAACGTCATAATGTAATTTATATTAACATATATTATCATTTAGCATTTTTATACAATATAATAGGACCAAACCTTTATAGATGTAATAATCGAATATTACCCTACAACTAAAAAACTTTATAGTATCTTATCAACTTCTTTTTGGTTGGATTGTGTTATTTGAATTAAGAATACCTTTATAGCTTGGATCGACTTGATTGATTTAAAGATTAACAGTCTTAGACAGTTAGACTAATAGGAATGATTAATATAAGATATATATACTTTATTCTCTAATATCCTTCATGTAACAGAAAGAAAGAAAAAAAACTAACCAATGTTAAGGCCCCCCTAAAGCAATTAAGGTGGACACACACTTTCCAGCGATATAACGCAATAATAGAGGTTTTTTATACAGTTCAACATCACCATCGCATCTCTTCCAATAATTTCTTTTGGATACAACAAAGAAAAAAGAAGAGAACCAAAGAAATTGCAGAATGAACGAACAAATTTCAAAACTATCACAAAAATTAAAGTTTAATAATAGCTACAGCTGAAATCAATTACAAGATCAACATGAGCTCATAAGAAGTTGCTCTAAATATTCAGCACCTAAATCTTCAAAAACCACTAGTGTACCACTTTCTTGCTTCACAACACTCTGCTTATTACTTCTTGATGTTGAAGACGAAGACGAGGACGAAGATGAAGAAGTAGAGTAATTAGAAGAATTAGAAGAACAACAAGAAGAAGAAGAAGATCGCTTTTTCCCTCTAGGCCGGTTTCGAAGCGAATGTTTCCTCTTCAAGGCCATAACCGGAGATCCTCCATCGTGAAGATTCACATTCTCCATTTTCGTGAGCGACTCTTTGACCACTTCCACGGGAAAATTGAGTACAGCGAGAGCTCCTTTCGTGGCGAAAGCAGCTTGATCGTAAGCTAGAGCTGCTTCCTCGGCTTTGTCGAACGTACCGAGCCAAACCCTAATTCCGTTCCTCGTCGAATCTCTTATCTCCGCCGCAAACTTCCCCCACGGCCTTTTCCTCACTCCTCTGTATGACTTCTCTTCATCAACAATACCAACTTTTTCTTCCTCCTCGGAGTTAGAAACGTCGCAGTTTTGGGATTCTTCTTTGATCATCATCTCCGATGACGACCCAAACGAGAAAAAGTCATCGGAGTAATCATAATTATGACAAGAGAAGGATTGATGATCGGATGATTGATCCAAGAAACAACTCTCGTTCAGTAAGAATGATTCTTGTGATGAGCTCCAAGAACTCGGAGAAGAATACATGGTGGTAGATTGAGAATATTCCATGTATTTTTTTTTCTTAAAATTTTCTCTCTCTTTTTTTTGCTGTTATCTCTTTTTGTTGTGGCAATAACTTATTTCAAAACCCAATCCTATATATATAAGGGACATGTAAGTTATTAGATATTTGAAAGTGGGGAAATATTTAATGTTATATTGTTATCATAGGGTCCTATAGACAAATATGGCTGCCTTAAAATACTAATAAAATTTTATTTTATACAATCGAATGGGGACCAACCACAAAACTGGTATTAGTTTTTTTCCAATATATATAAGGTAAAAACAAGATTTCATAAGGATCTATCACTATACGAAAAAATGAAGTGGGTGATTTTATTTCCACGTGGCAAAGGACCATATTTGGGTAGTGACGTTAGGCGGCGGGAAGCCGACAATATAGATGAGATCAGCATATCGTGACGTGGCATTTTCGAGGCAATGTTTAAGTAACTATAGTACTGAAAGACTGAAAGTCTGAGAGAGTTGACTGAAAAAAGAAATGTTTCTCGTCTTATGTGGATATTTTGATAAATTATCATAACAACAAATATACAGCGTATCATGTTAAAGCTTTATTAAAAATAATCTGACGACAAAAAAATAACTTTATATATAAGAACTAAAAGTTCATCCCTCATAATAACAATAGAGTAAAAGTTTCGTAACGTTGTTTTGAATAACATCTGATGGATATTTCGGATTTTAAGAGAAAAATAAAATAAAATGGTGCATCATTTCTTTTTTTTTGATAACCAGATGCATATATATGTTTAACACGGAACTTATTACTTGTAATATTTATGTTTACCAAAAAAAAAAAACTTATTAGTTGTAGTAATTAAAATTAAACATAATGGTTATAACCAGATGCAAAAGGTTAGATCCTGTTATACTATTGGACATCTATTTGACTATTTCACCAAATTCTTAATTATAAATATGTTTCACAAAACTTTTTAGTTGTAGTATAAATGTCCAGCAATTTTTTTGTTTTGGACAAACAGATATGTCCAACAAATTTAACAACCATTAATTAAGGTATACAACAATGTTTTGCGTTGAGCTATACAAAAAGATTATTCCTGAGATACATACATACTACGAGGATATAAAAAAAAAGATTGGCTAGTTTGTAGTTATCAAATCTGTAAACGAAGTTTAAAAATCAATATATATATATATATATATATATGAATTTTAAGATGAATTTTCTAGACAATATTTGTTGTTTTACAAAGATAAATTTTCTACCTTTTTGATGCACTTTTTCAGTTTTCAAGAAACAATAATTGTATTTGTTAGATTTTTATTGGTTTAAAATCATAGAAAATTGTTTTATTGCAAAAATCTATACACTAATGATTGGAAATCAGCCTTTTCTTAATATGTGTGAAAAGTCTAGAAAATTTATAAAAAAAAACGGAGGGAGTAATAAACTAATAATATAGCTAGATAAAAATCAATATGTCCATCCTTAAACACGATTGAATTAGGTCGCAGTAACCACAAAATTCATTATTGCCAACTATGGTTGAAACATGTTCATATTACAGGGGCGGATGTACGTGAAGAGGTAGGGGGTCAGCTGATCCCTACTACTTTGATAAATAAAAAAAATTATATGTACTTGTATTGTGTTTAATGGTTTATTTAGTTTAAATGTTATCATTTGACCCACTTGTCCCAAGTTCAACTCTTCTCTTCATATATTTATTTTAATATATGATCCTGGTACAATATAATCCTAGCTCCACCCCTGCATATTACCATATTTGACCGACTGACTTAACCATTTTTACGGTTAAAATCGTTTTGTTTTTAAAAAGAACATAATGGGAAAACAGATGGATCGAACTGTGGCCCCGAGGGAGTGGTCTCTTCTTAATGTGCCGACAGCCAGTACTCTCCATATATTTAAATTTGCACAAAGAACAAAATAGATATTTCTCAAAACCAACCCTAAACAGAAAAAAACGAAAATCATTGGTCAGAGAAACAAACATTATTGGTCAATTTATGGTTGGAGAATAGGGTTGTGTAATAAATATGGATTGCAACGTCACAGTATTAGCTAAACCAAATTGACTTTTTTTTGTTTTTCTCTCTCTTTGTGGTTCTCTTAAAAGACCGGAAATTTTTGATGATGTTTCCCCGATACGACCGTTACATTTGACAAAAAAAAGAAGAACATATATACAATTTATAAGCCTGAAGGCTGCATTTGCTAACGGCGCCAAACTAAATTGTATAACAGAGATCCTTGAAAGGATTACCGGATAATATAAGCCCATGTTTCATTTCAATTTTTGTGTCTCTTGGTTTGTGGTGGAGAAATTATAAAAATAATCTGCGAAACTGTAACACAAATAAATAGTTGAAAATCTATTTAAAAGAAACAAAAAAATATATTTTAAAGATAATTAGTGATTTAGTGTATGTGAAGCAATCTTTTTATTAAATTTGAATAATAATCAAATAAACTTGAAAGTGATTAAACATTCATTACATACATTCCGTAATTATAGAAAAATTCTAGCCACAAAATGAGTTAGTTCAAATATATTGATATGAATGTATTGACGTTTTGTTAGTTTTCGTGATTATTTTTGGCGTTTTCAGCATCTGCTACCACTTGAGGATGCCTATAATTGTTTAGAAAAGTATTTCTTCATTTATTTGATATAAAAGAAAGGTATTGTTTGAGCGTATAATATGCGTCATATGACAAGTCTCTTTATTGTTTGTTGTCCACACAAATTCTTGCACAGTTTTAGTTTAAATTTATGTCTCATGAATTAATGGATCGTATTTGTTAATTTGTAAGTCTTGTCCACTCATATATTTATACTCAACCAATAATAGCAAGACGTGAATTTAGTATAATGATCAGAGTGGACGTTCATAACATTTCTACCTCAGTTTCATCTTTTCATGATTTTTTTTCTTTCTTTTAAATGTGCTAATTACTGATGACAGAAACAAAACAAGTCGTTTTCATTTGGTTGTAACATAATTATTGATATATTAGAAAATATGTAATATTTTGTATGACCTTATGCAACTCTTATCATCATATCGTATAATGAATAGGATGAGACTACATACTATAATCCAGTTATATGGCATTATATAGTGTTACTTTCCGAAATTTGACCCTTTTCCCCCAAGATTTTACCTCTTAAATGTACAATACTAAGTCGATTGATTCGATTTTTGCTATTAGCCAATGATACTAAATTTGATCTAAGTACGTAGAATGTCCTATGTGGGTATGTTATTAATCTTAAGAGTGTAATTCAGTTCGAAATAGATATAGTTTTCTTTTCTTCCAAAGCGTATGAAGAATGTTGTTAAAAAAAAAAGGATATGGACCTATATATATACGGGACAGTTCAATTTTTTCTATATTAATTATCTTTGATTTGGAATTCCATAAAATATAACAATTAGTATTGTTAAATTAAGTTTGTCAATGATATAATGTACATATTAATCAGGGCAGAAAGTTACAATACCCACAACAACAACAAAATATATTAGTCTATCATATGATATATGAGGCACATAATACAAAGGGATGAGTGAATCGATCTGTAGTAGCTTGGCTGCAATATAAAACGCCATACAAGATGTAATGATATGCTGCATAAATGCTGTTTTAAAAGTTAATCATGATATTAAACTATAGAATTAAATACCAAAATTAGTTGGGATGGCTATTATCAGGATCATTATTCCTTAAGGAATACTCTTCTTTATATCACGATGAACATTCTTTAAAAATGTTGGAACATTAATATGTGATATGACACGTCACAATTGACTATAATAACTAATTTATATGATTTCATTTTTGAGAACCTTCTTCTTTTCTACACACATTTTAGTTTAACGTCAAGTTAATCTTGTGTATATTTTTGCTAAAATTAATTTAATTTAATCAGATCATGACTAAATTTCGGCTGTTTATTATATCTTTTGTTTTTCGACGCCAAATTTGATACATCTTTTCTAGTTTCCACTGCGAATATTTTCAGTTATTTTTACTAAAAAGTTCGATCATTGAAGAAATTCGGATCACCCTTTAAATAAAACACACGTAGGAAAAACTATGTTGAGGCATGCGATTTCGTACGATTTCCATGTGCTATGAATGGAAAATATGGCTATTGATTTTTTCCACATTACAAAAAAATGGGAGATAAAAGTTTGATAATCTTGAAGAGTGTTGAAAGCGGACAAGAGCATGCGGCCGAGACAAAAATATAAAATGTTTTTGTCCATTAAAGTGACTGATGTTTGACCTCAACGTCCAAGTGCATTACCCCTTTTGTAACATATACATACATACATAGATTCACAGCCCACATTTGTAATGATACAGTGACATCATAATGATAACAAAATTCATTCACATTATTTCAAGGGTCACCTTTGTTTTTATTAGAAAATTTTCCTAATGTAGTTATCATAATTATGATAAAACTTTAAACACAATTAGCTTCTAACTTTCTTAGGACATTTTCATATAAAATATGAGGTGGATAAAGATCACAATTCAACATATCCCCCTAATGAGAACTTGAGAGTTGAGACTGTCGGTAAAACAGATACGTTTTTTTTTTGGTAGAGTAAGAAGGAAACAATTAAAATTTTAGATAAATGAACCGTCCTTCAATAATACAGTAACATTTTTTTATATGTATAGTAGTAGGTGTTCAGGGGTTTTCGTTTTCTTAATTTCTATGGGTTGAAGGCATCTAAACGTCACTTTTAGCAATCATTTTTAACTTAACGTTTGCGGTGTCTTTAGAACTATATGGCAATTATATTAATGTAGAAGAAAATAAAAACATTAATTTAAATACAAAGTATTTAGAATATATATTTATCCAAAAAAAGTATTTACAATATATATGGCCATAAATACTCTAGATTGATTTCAGTTTTGTATTTAAGTTAGATTGAATTTCTAGAAC